CTGATTAAGATGAAAAGTGACCAAAAAATAAAAAATTAATTTCGAAAAGAAAGAAAAAAAATTTGTAACAAACTAGTAATTTTCATTTGCATCAGCTTTATTTGAATAATTGTCTGAGCTCAGAGTAAGCTCGATATTGAAAAAATTGAACTTGAATGACTTTGTATTTTTTGTACTAGTGAATTAAAACATTTTTGAGACTTCTAAAAATTGGAATTTGGTTCAAATGGCTAAGCTATTCAGAGAACTGACCGGAACTTCTGCAAAACGTTCAAGAGCGTTCCGCCGAGTCAACTGCGGAAGTTTCGTAAACGTGCTGCGGAAGTTCCGAAGAATGCGAACTACGACAGCAAAAGAATACATTTAAGCGAGATTGAACAACCTTACTCTGTTGAATGTGAGACCCACCTACTATCCTCTTACGGTTGACGTGTTCAATAATTCACTCTAGTTGTTGGCGAGGCAACATCGTACGAAACAACTACTTCAAAACTCTTCGGAAGTACTGTCATGTCAAAGTGCTGCGGAACCGCTGGCATTTTTCGGAATTTTTGCAAAAAGTGCTGCGGATCCCGTTTTCAACCAGTCTGATGTGAAAATCTCGCGGAAGTTCCTATTTTCAACGTTTCCACTTTTTCAATGGTAAACAAAATGCTGCGAAATCGCTGCAAAGTTCGCTTGTCCTGCGGAAGTTCCGGTGAATTGTCTGAGTAGTAGATTTCTAAAAAAGTTTGGAATTTTTATTCCATTCTTTGTATTTGCATGCTAAACAAAATATGAAGGTATTCAAAAAAGTAAATCGATTATATTCTATTACTTTACCACGTGTTTCCTTATGAATTAATGATTTGAATTTGTTGGAATCCAAATTTTCTGTCATTAGTGATAAATTTCTAGCAATTTCTAAGACTTCTTAAATTAAAATTTGTCCTCCTTATAAGTAGCTGAAAAAATGCACTATAACTGCCAAATATATAAATACTCCAGATTTCACGATAACAACATTTCTTTCTCTTTTTTATTTCTATGTTTTGAATGAAGAGAAAAACTCCCACAACCACTTGGCCACTTGTGCAAAACATCCTAACAAGCGCTTGCTTTCGTGTTCAGCTCAGCTTCCCCTCGTTTTTCTCTTGCTAATGCATTACTTCCATTCCAGAACGCAGCTTGCTTAATCAATCTTGACATCTCGTGGTCTCTACCTAGTAATTATGGTAGGAAAAACGAAAATTATGTTGTGCGTGCAAAGCATTTCCGTATTAGCACACGAAGAAATAACAAAAATTTTCTGCATTCTTACAAGTCGCTCGAGCCAAGCAACTCGTCCAAGCGCCGATTCTATCCAGATATTTTCAGCAGTAAGACTTTCATACGTTCTTTCATCATTCAGATACTTTAACTCAAACATATAATAGAAAAGCTTTGCATTTTTTTTATCTGTCTACCGACACCGGACAACTCGTCCGAACTCCTGATTTGAACGAATCCGCTGTCATCGTAAGCATTTCTTGTACTCCTGATCGAGTTAAAAAAAGAACGAAAACTCTCTCGTGCGACGCCGGACAACTCGTCCATATTTTCAGTTTATCCACTTTTTCAGCAATAAAGATCCCATATGCTCACGTCAATGCTTGAGCTCAACATAACAAAAGATCTATTTTTTATTTACATGTTTAACACCGGACAACTCGTCTAAAGCCCTAATTTGAACAAATTCGCTGTCATCGTAAGCATTTCTTGTACTCATAATCGACCTGAAAAGTGGACGAAAAAATCTCTACCGTTCGGCGGACAACTCGTCCATATTTGCAATTTATCCAAAATTTTCATTGGAGTTCCCCTTACTTACTCTCGTCAATGCTTGAGCTCAAACGAATGACAAAAAATATATTTTTTACCTACTTAGCACTGGGCAACTCGTCCAAATTCCTAGTTTGACCAATCCGATGTCAATTCCGTAAGCATTTCTTGTACTCATAATCTGGTTAAAAAGGAATAAAATCTGACGTTCGACGCCGGACAACTCGTCCTATTAGTTACAAACGTTTTAAGTAATGAAGATTCTCATAGCTCTCGTTAATGCTCAAGCTCAAGCAAACTGCATTTTTACCTATTTACAGACAACTTGTCCAAATATCTAATTTGACCTAATTTTCAGTTTCGTAAGCATTTCTTGTACGTATAATCCAGTTAAAAATGAATAAAGAGATTTTTTGTTCGATGCTGGAAAACTCGTCCATATTTTAATTTATCCGAACCTCCTTATCATTAATGATTCTCATATGCTTTCGTCAATGCTTAAGCACCAACAAATAAAAAAGCTCTGCATTTTTTACCTGGTCACTACCAGACAACTCGTCCAAATTCCTAGTTTGACGTGATCTTCAATTTCGTAAGTATATTTCTTGTGCTCAAAATCCAGTCAAAAAGGAAGAAAAAAATCTCTGCAATATCACAAGTCGTTTGATGCTGCACAACTCGTCCAAAGTCCGAGTTTTTTGCAGACATCTTCTAATCCTTTCGTAAGCGCCCCTTACTTAAATCGACTCAGATATTCAAGCTCTAAAACGAACGCGAGGTCGCCTAGTAACGATGAGACATATCTCAATTTACCGCTCATTCACTTTCTAGATGAATTAGTCTCCTTGACAAGCAAAACTAATTGATCGGGGGAGGGGGAAGGGGGGGGGAGATTCTCCTTGCAGGGATTTATTTATTACAGTCATTCAACCCCATCCGTGCTGCTCTTTTTGCAAAGGGGATTAGTCTCCCTCTGTGTGCCTACCTCATTAACTCGAATCCGTTTATCTCTGCAAATCAACGCTTTAAGCGCGCAGTCTGTTTGATTACAGAGTGTCCCCTGGGGGAAGATGGGGGGAGGGGGGGGGGGGGAAGGAGGGTAGGGTAAAGCGTAGGCGAGTACACATTCGTACCCTACATCTTTGAGGGAACTAAGGGGGGGGGCAGAGATCAGCTTCGTGAGAATTTCGCATGCTGAGTTGCGTAATAGAGGAGCTAGTCTTGCAGATGGAAAAAGGGGAACGAGATTGATTGGTTGCAAGGGGGGGGGGGAGAAGAGGGGGAGAGAGGGGGGTGAAGAAAGGACGTAAAAAATTTTCCACAGTAAAGGGAAGTCAAATTCCATTTAAATTATTGACTGTTGAAAAATTAAGAAATCTCACAGCATTCGTTTTCATTCTATCACGCTGAAAGCTGGCTGACACCGTTAGTACAATCCCAATGCGAATTTGGGAAGGGGGGGGGGGGAGGAGATATACGATAAAATGGGTCGTCAAGCTATTTCAGGAAATTTCACGATTTATGAGAGTCATTTCCCAATCATTCCAATTTGAACTGCCTCTTCTATACATTTATGGTCTACGTAAAAAACAAATGGGCCTATTTCACTGAGCTTTTCCCATTTTCAATCGCGAAAAAACTTAGGAACATTACTTTTGCCTTTTTTAGTGATGCTGGCAGCCTGGCAACCATAACGCAGTTCTCAATCAGTGCTTTGCCATACAATCATCCAGTCTTTCATTAATTCTTCTTTTACTTATTCTTTTATTCATTCATTATATTTTTTTATTCACTTATTCGTTCATTCAATTACCCACTGTTTCGTTCTTTCATTCATACATTGCTTTATTTATTTATTTATTTATTTGTCTATTTATTTATTTATTTATTTATTTATTTTTTTATTCATTCACTCATTCATTCATCCTGACAATCATTTATTCGGCCATTCCCACACGTCATTCAATCATTCTCTCATCATACATTCATTCTTTAATTCATTCGCAGTTATCCTTTCTTAGGCTTTTTCTTCCTCTTCTTTATTTCTTCACCCCTTCCATTTACTGAGCTACTGCATAAGTTCTGTCCGATTTGAATTTTTGAATTCAAAATGTCATAACTTCTTTCAAAGTAAATCTTTAACCATGATCCTAGTTTCTGTGTCTTGAGAGTTTCGATTATCAGAAGAATATGAAGAGCTACGAAAAACCCCGTTAAAGAAGAAGCCAGAACTCAAAAACTTTGCACTGTTTTTCTTCAGACCTGTCTTTTTTGAAATGGTAATGTTCCTTTATGAGAAAAGATAGGCATATTGGCTAACCATGGATAGATAGAAATTTTTGTGGATTACTTTGCTACCTGAGGGAGCCCATAAAATCTTGGGTGCCGCAAGATTTTTTTGACCGAGCAAAAAAGAAGCCACTTTTTGACCTTGCCTCAGCACATGTGTGCATGTCTGTTAACGAATAAAAAACTTGCGGCACTTCAAAAAGTTGGACAGAACTTATGCAGCAGCATAGTACTTGTTCATTCAAATTAAGCATTTCTTCACTTTCCATCTTGTTCGGTTCTTCCGATTTTCCTTGTGTTTTCCTTCTTTTCATTTATTTATTCATGCAAGCAAGCATTCATAACGGCACAGTTCATTTACTTGATTTTTCATCACATAAATTTCAATGCAAATTGCTCCTTAGTGGTTTTTGATGCTTGATATCATATAAGGCTTAAAATAAATTACGCATGTATTTTTTACCCTCTGCTACACAATTATACTAATCATAGTCATTTCTGCAGTTGCCATTTACTGCTCTCATACAATGTATTAATCACTGGAGTCATAAGTTCAAATTTAAAAATTCATTACAGAATTTTTCCTGCGCTAAAAAAATAAGTAGTCATAAGTCATTCTAAAACGCATTCTTTACAAGGCTCTGTCATGCTGCTGCCAATCCCATCACCTTCTTATCATATTTCGCAACTCTGTAAGGAAAGACTGTTGAGGATCCAGTTGAGACCTCATGCATTTTTGATTTCGTTTCCCAGTTTCCCACGCGTTTATCTTGCAAACTTCTAAAAAATTAAGATTTTATAAGTTTCCTGCTTTGATTATTCCGCTAGAGAAGTTTTTACTATTTTCGTGTGCTCCTGCTTTTCTGGACCAATCTGATTATATTTTTTCATAAACCTTTGATTTTAGGAACATGGCAGTATTCAAAAAGCTAAAAAAGAGTAAAGACAAAGGTGTACCATTGCCAGAACCTGAACCAGTAAAACAACTTGATAAACGTGTAGGAATGGATACATATAGGTTAGTTTGCGTTTCTAGATGGAAGCTTTCTGGAATTCTTAAGGAGTCGTCTAAAATAGCAATTTTTAGGGATTTTTTCACATTGAAAAATTATTGGAAAGCTGTCGATCGAAAACGACAAGATTCCGCGCAAATGATGTTTAGCAGGTCGGTCAAACTTACGCAATTTTTCCAGTCTACTCACATTTACTACAGTTTTACCCTTTTTTTCGAATAGAGATGAACGGCAAAGAAAAAATTTCAACATTTCATTCAAAATTTTGTTGTAGGTACCTGAACCAAAACCCCGACAATGCTAAACTCTACCCAAAGCTCAAAAATATTGACGGAGCCACTGTCGACATGACGTGCAGCGATTCAGGGTTCGAAAATATGGCTGCTCTATACTTAAAGGTAGAAAATTAATTTTTTTCATTCTTTCTGAAACCTTTTATGTAATTTGAGTTTTCTAGGTTTTCGACGAGATTATCAGTACAATCGAAGAAAAGCCGGGAGATGTTCAAATGGCTTGCGATCGATTAAAATCAGTTGGGAAAATGCATAAATCGAAGGTATAATTTGGAGATTCCCCTCCCCCCCCCCCCGGCTCCCCTTCCTGCCCCCATGAGTGGCGAAATTTTTGGAAAGTATGTATGAGTTAGAGAATTGTGCAGTGTCTTGTTCTTACACGTGAATAATCAAATGCTTTTGAAATCTTGAAGCGATTTTGTAAATTTTTGGGGTCGACCACTTCATCTGATTAAAATTTTTGTCTTTCCTCTCTCAAAAAAAATTTTTCGGACCTTACTAGGAAGTACATATTCTAGTAGACAAGAAGCTTTGTTTTGGAGCTTTGGTGTAGAAAAGAGATGCATAAGAGAGCCCTACAAAAATATTTTGTCATTTTCAAGCTTATATTTACAGCGCTGAGATACGAAGAGGGCAATGACCCAAGGCTAAAAACTTTTCTCGAATTTTGATGAATTATCGTGACCATAATATTCACTAATAAAGGCAACTCACAAATTTTTATAAGCACGGACCACATGCAAAAATTTATGACCCATTTTTGGAGAAAGAACATTTCCATCATCCCAAAAAAAATTTTTTTTGAAAGGATTTGTTGAACATAAAAAACTTCGTAAATTTCTACAAAAATCTGTAGAACAAATATTTGTTTAAACAATCTTGTAGATGCATAGTTGAAGGATGTCTTATGGATAGCAGGTTTAGTTATTACCATAATATTTTCTTCAAAAATTGTTCACAAGGAGTATTTATGGTCTTATTCTACGGCAATCTCACGTCACTTTCCTTTTAAAACGTCTTCAGATCTTGAAAACATAAGCAGAACATATAAATAACCGATTTTTCGGCGTCTTTGTGACAAAATTGTCACACAAAAGTGTAAAAAAATGTGTAAAAAATTTAGAAGTCATACTTTTTTCCTGTTTGAAATCAAAGGAGTATATTATGTCGTTTTGTCCATCGCGGGTGACATCCGAGAAATCGATGATGTCCTAAAGTACTTTCGGAGGAAATTCTCATTCAAGCAGAATTGCGCAAAGAGCCACTTCTGCTCGATAGAGGGCGATTACTTGAAATGAAAGAGACGGCTCATTCTCTGGATGCCACCTTTATTGAGAAAAAATTTGGATTCGTGAAATTTCTCGTAATGCTGATCGCTGCACTGCACTATCATAGGGTAATCTTCTATTAACTCGTTTTGAAAGTTTTATCTATAAAAATTTTGCAATCAAGGGGTTTAGGGTTGTATCTGAAAGGAATTCCGATTTTTTCAGGTTTTAAGGATGTTTAAATTCTTGTAAATTAAGTTTTGTATGATGGAGACCGACCTTGTAGAGCTTGCTTTGCCCAAATGAATGATAACTTAGGCCTCGTTTCATTTTGAAAAATTAAAATTAACAAGAATACATCGTAAAAATTACTGGCAGAGTAACTTTTTTAGAAGATTGGAGCTAATGAGTGATAAGCCGATAATGTATGGTGAACCACCTAATAAGGGACTGTTTAAAGTCGCTAATTATAGAAGCAGTTGAGGGTAAGATTTCCAAAATTGTTGAACAAAAAACTGAAATTGAACTTAATTTCTTAAATTTGGTAGGGAAGGCAAAGTAATTTTGTGAAGTTCTTGTTTTTAAGTTATCTTTTCTACCTGATACCTTCAAGTGCTCTTTTTTCACGTAGGCGTCTATGTGAATAAGGAAGTGTTATTTTATTTTTTTGATTTTAATAACGTAATTCTTTGCTTTTTTTACATCTATCATTTCATACCGTCTTCTCCATAGACGTGCATTTCTCAGTAAGGGCACGGCACAGCAATGTCTGTGAATTTCTTAGAGACAAAGTCTCCGTTAACTTTTCAACAAATTTTGATAAAGAAGAATAAAACAGAATACAAAAACTCCTTCTCCTAAAGCGCATTAGGAGCAGGATTGGTACCGCCATTCAAATTCTTTGGTGGGTTTTTACTAAGCGGGGAGGAGAGGGGTATTAAGGAGGTTCAAAAACTCCATAATTTGTGTTATGTAAAAAGTGTGAAAAATCGAGTAAAGAGACAAAGATCTATGATTCTATTTTCTCAGCCACATTAAGCGGCTCTTCAAGTAGCTCATAAGCGACCTAACTCCAAAAAAGTTTGCGGGCCTTTGATTCACATATTTTTTTGTAATGTTTCAGTCATACTTCCATCTTCCTTTCGCTCTTCTACACACCAAGTTTAGTATCCTATCAATTCCTCTTCGCTTTGAATAAGTTTTGAAGTTGAATAAGTTCACATTTCTGGGCACACTTTTGAATTTTCCCGCCTGCAAGAAAAGCATATCGCCCAAAGTTGTTAAATTGCAGAGAGGCTTGTAGAGTAGTGATAAGCACTTGCAGCGTTTTTCAGAAGATAAGGGGAAATAAAAGATGGATAACGATTGGGGAGTGTGTATTTATAAGACTTAAAGGCCGGTCATACTTCACGCGATTTCAGTCGCGACGCGATTTGGCAATATTCCAACTGTTCATAATTCACTATAAGCATATTTTAAATACACAGAAGATGGGGCATTTCATCAGTTCACGTAAGTTATACACACTATTCATGTGCAGTTTGCTAGTGTTGGGTCTGAAGACTTCTGGCGATTTGCCAAATCGCGTCGCGACTGGAATCGCGTGAAGTATGCCCGGCCCTTTAAGTGACAATAGCGATGGGGTAAGTTTTGCTTGTCAGGAGGGAGGGTTGCAAAACTTTGTTAGGTTGATGGGCGTGAAGTTGTCCAAGCTCTCGAAATTTTTACTCGGTAATATAAATCAAAATCCGATTTTAGATTGTCTAGCATGAACCGAACCTTCTTGAAAATTTTTTCAACTCCCTAAACTTCGGTTTTGTACAAAGCGAGTGGCGATTTTTCCATACATACAATACTAAGCTGATACGTGTACTCATTGCCGGAATTTTGTCTGGCCCCCAAGAACGACATTCCCTTCTTTTTCCCCTAAAATTTTACCCGGCCTGCTCCGTAAGCAGGGCTCGGCACGAGCTGGCACCAGGGAAATTTCAAAACGAAGTCCCGTTTGATATTGAAAATTTCGCACGAAGTCCCTTTTGACCTGTTTTGAAAACCCGTCATCATTTTTATATTATGTAAAAAATGTAGTAGTGTTTTCATGCATTTCTGATTACATGGAAGAACTTCTCACAGCTTTCTGAGCTTTTGAAGTGGTCGAATCACATCTTGAGAAGCAGAAAAAGCCGATTTTTCAACTGCGGAGTGGACCGAGTGGTTTTCAAATTGCTATAAAACGCTGAAAAGAAAACATTATGAAACTGTTTCTTCTCCGTATGTAATCTTTTACAGTGTAGATACATTTTATGTAAAAAAGTATGAAAACTTATGTGAGCAAAGTGTCGGTGCCAGCTCAGCTGGCACCCAGCTGGCACGGTGCCAGCTAATTCAGAAAAAAGTTGGGCACAGCTTTCATTCACATAAGTTTTCATAAATTTTTGGCCCATAGTTCCAGTCCACCAACGCGCATGCACACACTAAATTTGGTGTCATACTATTGCGTTTTGGCTGAAAACAACGCCTTTGTTTGTTGATGGACAGCTTGCCAATGGCATGCCGGTGGCATGCCGGCGGCATTTTTGCGGCAGTTCTCCGCCTCGGCCCCTGTAGAAACGATATCCCCTTCGCTTTCCGCCCTAAAAACGATATCCAGCTTGACCCGGTGCCAGCTGTGCTGAGCCCTGTCCGTAAGCCATCTATACCCAGCCCTAAGTAGCAGCAGACTTTCAATGAGAGTCAAATAACATTTTTAGGTTTCACAAGCCCCTCAGAATTTCAAAGCAATGGAGGAACCATTCATGTACATGGTAAAGGAAGTGTTACAAGATCGCTTCAACGAAAAAGCCGAAGGACTTTTCCAGAAATTCTACGCATTTTGTCTGAAATACTTGATTGAAGGATATAATAGCTAGTACTCTCACCCATAGCACACACATTCTCAGCCCGGATCTTACTGCCTCTACCTTAACAAATTTTCTAGGGTGCTTACGTTGTATTTTCCAATTTTTTCAGAAACTTCCAGAATTTTTTTCCCATTGCCATAGTTAGTGAAAGAATGTTGTTGTTTACATAGAGACAACGCCAACTATGAAGTGCCTGCAATCTTACTTCCGAAGTTTTTTTTTTCAATTAACTCTTAGTTGTGACGAGAAGGAGATCCTGAAATTTTGAGAATTAGTCTATGACCACTTTGAGTTTGCTTTGTTTTTGGGATATTAAAAAAACCGACATTGAATGAGAATTATTCAAATGTTATAAAATTTTGCAGTATCTACTAGGGAGGATGTTCCTGCTTGCCAGCATCTTACCGGCAAATTGCTGGCACTTTGACTGCGACTTGCTAGCAACTTGCTCGCGATTGGCTAGCAGCTTGCCAGCAACCAAAATTTTTTGCGAAATGTTTACTCAAGTACTTTACTGGTTGCGTGACTAAAGTTTACATATATAGCAGTAAAAACAAAGGGCCATCATTTTTTGGTAATCAATCCCGATTTGTTGAGGTTTTACCATTCAATCTTTTTTTTTTCTCATACATTTTTTTGGGAATGAAATTCAATTAGCTACAGTAATTTCTAATGCTGGTCTTGAAGAGTATAGCGCTTATAAATGTGACGATCTCACCTCATTTTCTCTTATTTTTACGTTTTTTTTACATTTTTGCTCGAGTTCTATGCATCATTTTATCCAACAAACATACGTAATGTGTATCGTACAGCTTTTCTTCTGTTGCATCATTGTCACTGTCATTTGTCATTGTCACTATCGAAGCTGTTTCTTTCCAATCTAGTTCTGGATAATTTGATACATAGTTCTCTAATTTTTGCTCACAGCATGTTGCTGACGCTCCGGTGTCAATCAGGTGATGTTATGTATAAATATAAGGCTTAAATATCTATTGCATTGTGTTTGAGGCGTCACAAGTAGCTCTATAGCTATCATTAATTCTATGATTAGGAGACGCGAGACCGCATTACACACATTGTCTAAACAAGCCTAATCGTGTACTTAGCAGGTTTACACTTGTTAATTTTGTCGTCCAGGTTTATTCACTCTTTGGAAACGTGGAAGAACAAACTCAAACTTGTTATGACAATGTACGCAATGCGTCCTCGCATCTCCTGGTCATAGAATAGATGATGACATCATCAAAGGCACAACTTACAATTTTGATGACGGATTTGTATTATGATTAAGGTGTGCTAATCGATAGAAACAACAACTTTATTACAAGGCACAAATCAAGCATACTAATATAATCTGAACTAAAAACATATTTTCCGGTTGACAGGTCCTTAACCGCCCGAGCCAATGCCTGAAATGTCTTCGCGGTAGGCATTGAAACTTTCACAAGTCAGCAGTGAAGCATATTATAGGAAGGGCGGTGGAAGAGAAGGAAGAGGGGAGTTGAGGACGTAAAAAGCTTCCACTGATGTAATAAGTTTCAACTCAGTTTAGGCGGAAATTGAACTGGCGGGAGTCCGCTTCGCAATGATTCGCGCCGCTTTGCAATCTGCGTCTCTTCATTCTAATCTATCTCGCTGAGCCAGTGCGCTGCTCCACTAATGTTCCGCCTACCCCGGCTTGAAAAAGACTGTACCCTTTGAATCACCTAATCAGGGGTGTAGGCCCTTCTGAACCCGCTCTAATCGCGATGATAGTGATAGGTCAGCCCGCCGCAAAGGTCACGCTATGATTGGCCGCCGCGCCAAATCGAGCAGTTGACCTGTCCAGTCGCGTCGCAGTTTCGGACGAGTTTCGTCGTCAGCGTACCGCGTGCACTTACACTAATACACCCACGAAAGACGCCAGATGAAGACCGCGGCGTACACTAAAAGCAGACAAACTTCAGAAAAGTTTCATTAACCACGAAAATTTCCAATAGATGTAGCTGGCAGCTAGCATTTGGCTTTAACCTGCTATTTCAGTGATTGTATGAAGATTTGCATTGACAAAATCTATGTTTTATCATCTGCGAACCCCTCTTTTTGCAAATCCTGCCTAGTTTTCCCATTTTACAATTCGGAAACTCACATGCTGTTCTGTCTATACCTACTCGTAAACTGTAAGAACTGAAGACTCTGCTTTAATGTAGGAATGCCAGTTTGACTAAAAGAATGGCGAGAAAGAATGCTTTCGACATGTTCCCACTGAGATCATGTTAAGAAACTCATTGAGATACAGAGCCTGCGTCTGTGCAAACTCACAGATTCCAGACGAAAAACCCTGCAATATTTTTTGTCTTACTGCATAAAAACAATGACTATCACGCATTCTCCAAAACGAGATTGTCTAGCACTCTAAACAGGGTTCATGGTTTCAAAAATTCATGACAACCTGTGTAAAGGCCTAGATCTTCATATGTTGACAAGATCTTTATAATAGACAGTTCTTTGACAGTCGGACTGTTTCTGATCAGCTGAGCACTCTAGCAAAAGAACAGGTCTGCAGTCTAATGCACAAGGGAGAGAACTTCATGATGGCAATCTTTTCAATACTTATCATTTTAAATCAGAACCTAATGATTATAAAACAAAAAAAGCTAAGAAATAAAGAAAACAATAATTGCCAAAGAGGTACTACTTTTAAAATGCCAACAATTGTCCAAGACCAGATTCTTTACTCATTTTAGAGGATGAAAGAGGAGAATTATGCTAATTTATGTTGAAACAATCCAAAAGTACCTACTATGAACGCCAAGCCATTTTCCAATAATGAAAAGACGAACAAGATCAAGATAGAATTCACTAAAGTGCTCCACTGGCGATCGATAAAATACAACTTACCTTTGTGAAAGTATTCGATCTCGAATTAGTGACTAGCATTACAGTTAAACGCAGCAGATAACAGAACTAGGAACAGCAGATAGCAGAACTAGGGAGGGGGGGGGGGGGCAACAGCGAATAATAGCAAAGTCCGCAAGATAAGCTCGATGGGTTCAAGTTGTATGTTACTCAGTCGAAGAGAGCAACTTTCGAAATTAGGAAACGACTCGTCCGCGTCAAACGCAGCGCGAGCGCTCGCGCCCTAGATATTGAATTACTGTAGCGCACTGTGGGTTCAGAAGGGCCGTCTCCCCCTAATCAGGGCTAGGCAATGATCAGAGAGCACGCCCGCGAGAAAGACGAAGACTGCGTCGCGTGTGCGAGCGGTCGCCTTCCAGCCGTAAATCTATTGAATCAAAGGGTGGTGTCACGATTATGGTTGCTCCACGAACCAACTGGCGATAGGCTGCTGCATTACGAAGGCGCAATAATTTTGGGCGCGAACGCGGCTTTGTTAGCCGCAGAGCGCATGAGGCGCAGGTGTAGATACGGTTACAAGGTGTAGATACGCGCGCGCCGCGTTCGCGACCGCTCAACTGATATTGCTTCTGCGCCTTCGTCATGCAGTAGCCTTTAGGCTGCGTTCATACTGATCCCGAAATCCGGGAGCAGTTCTAGCACAGCGCTCAGTACGAGCACTGTGTTGGGACTGTCCCCGAACTCTGGGATCAGTATGAACGCGGCCTTATGTAGTAGCGTTAACTGCCCCGCTAAAATCGCGACAGGATCACTTTCGCTGGCGCGTTGCCAATTTCAACAACCATAGTGCCGCGGCCAGAGTGGTCAGCACGCAATTTGTCTGAACACTTTGTGAGCTGCGCCCGATCCGGCTATCTCTCTAGTTCGCCTATTCTTTTTGCGAGTCGCTATAAATTCAATTAGATCGCGCTTGCCAGCTCTGGGAGCTTCCGAAAGAAGATCTCTTTTCGTTTTAGGAGCTAAACAACAAGTCGATCGGTCGGGTTCATGACTGAATTGTGGATGATAAATATTAAAAAGTGAAAAGAATTTGTACCGTTTTGCAAAAGCTTGATGGCGACATCGGTCCTAATGGGAAATCATCAGAGAGTTTGAGTATGAAGATAATTAGCGAAAAATTAGTGGTGCGAGGGATCGACGCGCCTCACGTAGAGTTCAAAGACTCTTTTTCTTTTTCTTTTACTGTAGATTAGTAGTTTTATGCAATGATGAACTTTACCCATGATTAGGCATCAACTGGTGGCGGCTGGAAGGTGGGCCTAATTAAGGGACCGCGATGCTGTCTGCATCTCTCTCGCTCGCGTGTTCTCTGATCTCTACCCTTAATCAGGTCACGAAGCCCCGCCTTTCAGCCGCCAGGCCAGTGAATCAAAAGATACATAGACGTTTACCACTCTTTAATAATAGTAGGATGCACGGCACCGAGCCCATGACGGTTGAATGATGGACCCACCGCACCGCAACAACTTTTCTTATGAGAGCGTGACTTCAAATTATTGCTCTCAATTTACAGAGAAGTTCTTTACTCTGTCGCTATGTACCAAACGGACGGAACTGAACCATTCCAAATTGAACTGATCTTGTTGTTAATTAATCGTAAAGGTTTTGTCTAAAGCCGACTGCACGAAATAGTTCGGGTCGCTGTAGGCTGAACGCACGCGAGCGTGCCTGCAACGCGGCTGCCGAGTATGGGCGCACGACTCATGCGCGCGAATGCCAATGTTAGCCCGCAATAGACACGCGCGAGGGCGTTCAATCCGGGCGACTATATACAAGAATCAAAAAGTATAGGTTTCCTTAACTTTAAGATGTTTAAGGAGGCAAACCAAGGGACATTAAATTTTCCGCACTCACTCAGCCACCCTATATCCTATCTTTCTTTTCAATGCTTTTTGGTCTGCCCTAGTACTTTACAACGCGGTACAAAATTCTAGGGTAACTGGGGAGAATCACCTGTGTTTAGTCCTCTGCCCAGTCCTCCTCCTATAGTTCGGCTAACACCACTTCCGATACTTGACCCGCCATCACTTCCTCCATAATTCTGATCTCCAGTGCCACTTCCAAACCTTTGACCCGTACCGCTTCCAGAATATCGACTTCCTTCGTTACTGTCGCGATCCCTACCGTCTGAACTGCCTCCGTAACCTTGGCCGAAAGTACCTACAATCATCTGTTTGTTAATAATCTGATATAGAAAAAACCTCCAGGCAGTTTTACCTCCTTGCTGACCACCAGAGCCTCCGTGTGGGAACTCATCGTTCGTTCCATTTCGGCGCTCTCCTCCCTGTGAACTACCGTATCCGGTTCCAGTTCTCTGTCCAGCGCCATAATTTGGAACTGGAAAAGTCTACCCTAATCGATCCGTACATTTATTTCGGTAAAAGGCCGGAAACTCACTTTCTTCATTGGCTCCTCCAATCACATGACACTCCGAGGCAACAACAAGAGTTAGAAGAACCAAGAACAAAGTAATCATTTTTTTCTGACTTCAAAGTTTTCTAGAACAAAAGCTGACTTGCTTAAGATGCTCGCTTATTTCCAAACATATTTGAAATTGTTAAAAACGAAAACAAACACTTTTGTGTAGTAAAAGAGATGTAAAGACAAATCAATCAAAACGGTGGCAAAGCGAAAAGCAATGTGTGTTACATATCTAACTGGTTTTCGCCTGTTCTGCAAAACATATTTTTGTCAGCTTTTAGTACTTCAAAGAGCGTGGAAAGGGTAGAGAATTGAACTTTAGAATATTATAGTTTAAATTTCTCTAACTGATCACAAAATTTTGTTTTTAAGGGACCGTCATACTTTGCCTAAAAAAGCCCAAAAGCGCCCAAAAAGGCCCAAAAAAGCCCGAAAAGCCCGAAAAAGCCGGAAATAGCCGGTACGCAGGAGCGAACTTTTGGTAGAATTCTGATATTATTTTGATGTGTAGACGACAGAAAATAAAGCAAAAAGACTCGGTTGCAGAATCAACACACATGCCTTAGCGTCAAAATGGAAGGGGCGTTTCGGGTGAGGGAACTTACATACACCATAAGGTTGCCGCCGCCTAGTTAGCGGAGTTCGTGAGAGGTCATGAACTGGCAGCAACGCTAATTTGCACTCAGTATGCACCGAAGATAAGCTGATGCTCACGGTAACTCCGTCATCATCCTGCAGCCTATGAAACCGGAATTTCCTTGAAATTTGAATTCAAAGTTCAGTAGTAAAATCAGTCCAATTAGGGTAAAACTTATATCCAAGGGTATTCTATCACGTTGATTCTGAATATGTTAATCGTTTTGCTTGAAACCTAGGCTTTATTTCTTTTTTTAAATTGAAACTTGTTTTTACAATTAGAAATTTCAAAAATTCTATGTAAGGGGTTTCTGACATTCTGTTTTCGAAAAAGCTGACGGTTTTGCTTGAAACCTCATGAGTTTGAGGTTCCAAAAAAAACGAAATTAAATAGAATTTCGAAGGAAAAATATTCAAAGTTTTGAGCGAAATTATTAGCTTTTTAGGAAACAGCATGTCAGAAAACCCTTACATAAAATTTTTGAAATTTCTAATTGTAAAAACAAGTTTCAATTAAAAAAAGAAAAAAAGCCTAGGTTTCAAGCAAAACGATTGATATATTCGGAATCAGCGTGTTAGAAAACCTCCAAATACAAGTTTTAGCCCTAATTAAACTGATTTTACTACTGAACTTTGAATTCAGATTTCAAAGAAGTTCCGGTTTCATAGGCTGCAAGATGATGACGGAGTTACCGTGAGCATCAGATCATCTTCGATGCAAATTAAGTGCAAATTTGCGTTGCTGCCAGTTCATGACCTCTCACGAACTCCGCTAACTAGGCGGCGACAACCTTATGGTGTATGTAAGTTCCGCTCCCCGGCGTTTCAGCTCTTTTGGGTTTTTTTGGGCTTTTCCGGGCTTTTTTGCTCTTTTTCGGGCTTCTTTGGGCTTCTTTGGGCTTTTTTCGGCGAAGTATGAGGGTCCCCAAGTCTTGAGAGGAGAAACTTTATTAAAACATGGTTTTTTCAGTGTAAAGTTCTAATGATGGTTTTACGCAGCTAACAATTCTTGTAAGATTTATTCATAAAAACATGAAAGAAAAATTGTTTGATAATCGATATTGGAAAGAATTTTGTTTGACAATAGCAACTCCCATTAGACCAAAAATTGAATCCTCAACGCCCTGCTTTTGTTCCAAATTTGTCTGAAAATTCGAAATAAGTTTCTCCTATTTTGATTTTTCAAAAATGGGTACCTCCTGGTTCTCCATGTTGTAGATATTTGTTCATATGTGGAGGACCTTAAGCAGAGTTTTTAAATAATTCCAGCCAAAATTTTAGTAGTTGTACCTGAACTTGCCGAAGCACTATATCCTCCACCTTGCTGTCCTGCATATTGCTTACCTGAGAAAAGACGATTTTTTATAGTAAAAAGCCTGACTTTGTCTGACTTACCCAGGTTAGTTTTAATAAGCTGAGAATTAACACCGGTTGCGAGCACCGCAATTAGAAAGAGCACGTACATCTTCATATTGTAAACCTGTAAATCATAGATAATTTCATACATGCAAAAAATCGTTGTAACAAAAAATTGCAGACTTTCGTAGGCTCCGCATTACGAAAAGAAAGACTGATAAATAAATGGCTGTAAATGGCTAGTTGGCGCTTAGTGTTTGTACACAACTTGTTTTGTATGGCCTTTACCAGTGTTGTTTGAGCTGTGATATCTAATGCACAGGGCAAAGTCCTGCTGCGCCAAAGGTGACAGTTCACCAAACCTCGAGCAAAGGGTGGTAGGGCCACTGACTTCGTAGTGATATCTGTAAAGCAAACTCCAGAAAATAGCAGACCCTGACTACATATATAATACATCAAGGCTAACTCTTTCTTCCATGACTCAGGGATGGTGAACGATAGATGGTGCAAATTAACGTGCATACATGAGAAACTACCAGAAGTTTGAAGATCTGCATTTTCCGCAATATCACGGCAGATAGATGTCGATTACTTTCGGTCCCAGTTCATTTCAGGGCATTGGGTTCAGTTGCTTTTGATTCCGACCATCGCGTCGTTTAGCCATTGTACTTCCACTTCTCTTCTATGAGCAGCTGCGATTCGAACAGAAATGAGGCAGCTTCAGACACATTTAGGTCTTACGAGTTGTTGCGTTTTGACTATCTTTTTTCCTGATCGCGCTTTGTCTAAATCGAAGTTATTGTGGCGCTGTTCAGAGGTATCACCTATCACCGTGAAGATCAAAGCAACATGTTGAGATTAAAGGTAGCGTCCAAGCAAATCTGGACCTATGGGGAACGTCGCGTGGAAAGTGGAAAGTCATTTTGGGCCCTAACTAAACCACTGCTTAACCGGCTGCTCAAGTAGTGCTCTAACGGCTGAGATCTTCCCCTCGAAACTGGATCCAGGGATCGTATTCGGATTCATTGCGCAACCCATCAGTTTCGCGCGAGGACCCACGGAGTTGCACCATGAATCCATGCGAATACGAACCAGGGGAATATCTCAGCCGTTAGAGCACTATTTGGGCTACCGGCTGGGCAGTGCCTCATTTAGAGCATCAAGATTACTAACCACGTGAGAGCCCCATAGTCCAGATTTGCCTGGACGCTGCCTTTGAATATTTTGAGCTCAAACTCACTTGAAAGAATTTAACAATGCTCAACGTAAGTCTAATTCTCCTTTGATGTACTCGCAAACCCTATGTGCCACCTAGTACCTCGAGAGGAACGACTGAATATCCAATGACACACGATGCATCGTTTCTTGACTTCCTTACAGTTAAGCTCCACACCTAGGTTAGATGTGGATATTCAAAGTATTTCTCTTGCCAATGAAAGTATATTGATAGCTAAATTTAACTCTGGCTCGGCCTTAAACATGAAAAAGTCGCCCTAAATGCTGTTATACGATTTTTTGCAAAAAAAATCTCACAAGGCCTCACACTGAAGTTATACAAGATCATCAAACTGTGATCTTTCTGACTCCTACCCAACAGCCAATTATAATGCTGCTTTTCCCTAGGTGCGTTTGACGGTCATGACTTCTTTTGAGGAACGCGTAGTAGATATTGAGATCAGATTTGTCTAATAGTGTGCATTTCAAGAACGTAATATGGCCATGGAAATGGATATAATACGCAAGCACCAACGGAATTTGTTGTATAACCATTCTCGACTAGATTGATTAAGAAAATTTCTAGAATAACCTAACAGGAACACAGCCGTTCTCGTTATAAAACTGGAAGTAAGCTTGACGCAAGTGCACATCAAGTTGATACGCAGGTGCACTTCCACATTTCAATTTAGCAGGTAGGTTTCCTTATTGAATAAACTAACAAGGAAGGTAGTTTAGTCGAAGTAAGCTTTTTGCATTGGATATACACCATTTTGGAGAGCATGAAAGCTGATATCAAATCTGTCTTTCTTATCTGCTGCGGAATATTTATGGACGGGGAGTTATGAGCGTTTATTCGAGGGAAGAAGTGAATGAGCGTCTAGGATAAAATGGGTTGCTAAAGTATTCCTAGCTTTCGAATAAAGCAATTAAGTATGGTGCACTTTTTTATCAAAGAGTAATTATTGAATAAGGTGCTCTGATACACCATTCCATCAAAGTATCAGCAAAATTACGACGGTTCTTGTCATACTTGCACATTTGATTTTTCTCCAATAAACGCTCATAACTCATCGTCCATTAACGTTCCGCAGATAAGGGAGGCAGATCTAATATCAGATTTTTATGCTCTTCATTATGTTGAACACCCCACCATAAAGAACTAGCCGCTTTGATCAAAACTTAAAAAAAACTGCAAACTTTCTACATCATCTCTCTCACTATCACCATTTCAAATGAATGAGGCGCTGATTTTTTTGTCGAGACATTACATCAACAACTCGTTTTTGAAACATAGTAGCACAGTCTATTAATACCACTCTCTCACTAGATAATAGGCGCAAGAAGAGTTGTAAAAAATGAATGAGGCTTTCTTGAAAAACTGTGGGAATCTTCACAATTCTTTCGTGAGAAGTTTTTTCAAAATCCTGATGCTATAAAAGAGAGTATAAGCATTGACAGTTCATAAGTTATAAAGAGGATTCTCAATTCATCACCTCAAAATCCTTGAAGAAGCTCGTGCAGACTCATGTTTTGAGAGACTTATGCAAACACGAATGTCCTATGAATGTGAAAAGTATTACGTTATTCTGCAAATCCTACATATTAGCTTGCTAAAAAAATTTTGCTAATGAAAGTTGAGCTAATTTGTTCTATCTATATCTTCATCATAAATGGCTGTCTCAACAATATTTCGGCCATAATGGATGCTCATCTTCAAAAACTGCTCCTGGTGCGTTTGCAGGCCAAGATTTGCATTTTTTTGATTCTAAAATCAATGAGCGATTTCCTGCTTGGAAAAAAGCCCAGTACCTGAGGATAAGTAATAATCCGACGCGTTTTATCTAATGGATACCAAGGATGTATAACGGATTTTCAAATCACGCTTTCATTTCTGAGCAAATGTGCCTCTCCGGAGAATTTGCATAACCGATTAGTGTCCTTTGGGGGAGGGGGGGGGGGTATCATTCTCTGATTTACAAATGTTTTTTTAGACCAAATAATCAATCACTGGAGCCATCGCGCGCCAACAGCACTTCTCAAATTAGCTTCTTACATTCGCATGCAATCTTGGCATCATTGAGAAAAAATTCCCAAAAGTGTTTGAACATGCTAGTATCTCCTTGAATTGACTTTCAGGATCATGCATTGCTTCTGCGCTAAAATTAAGGTATGGAATACTCTCAGAGGTTTTTTCTTCATAGAGTTGAGAGAAAATCTCCAGCTTGTTTTGAGATTCAGAATACGTGCTGATGTAAGTGCTGTTGTTTCAGCCCGATTATTTTGTCAAAAAAAGCTGCAAAGAGTCGTTTTAGTCCTAAAGTGTACATACTTTACTACTTTCTATGTCCAAGTGTTTGGATTAATCTTTTCACAATGTTATATACCAGTCGCTTTATTAATAATATCAAAAAAAAAGGTGAAAAGCTGCACAAAAAAGGTCAAAATAATATAAACTGTTACCTTTGCAAGCACACTTATCCTTGTGTTGCGACAACTTTGGGATATTCATCGCTCTGGATTCCTCTGGACGAGCTAAGTCCAACTGTGCTTAGCTTCAAAAATATCAATAACTCGCTTTTCCAAAAGTGAAAAGTGTTATTTGGGCGGACGGCGTATGCCTGTCCTCGAGCGCGATTGGCTCGTGGATACGGTAGGTACGGTGTCTCCGCTCACAAACCAATCGCGCTACAGAGGGCAAATACGCGATCCGCCCTCAAATAGCGCATTTCACGTTTGGAAAAGCGGGTAATTAATATTTTTTGAAGCTGCAAAGCACAGTCTTGGACTTAGCTCGTCCAGGGGAATCCAGGGCGATGAATATCCAAAAGTTGTCATTCTGCCGAGCCGCTGCCTTTAAAGCTACGTTCGATTATGGATATATGCCTATGTGTGCATGGCCAGAGATGGTGTCTAGATGGTGCCTTCCTGAGATGTTTCACAGGAAAGCTTAACTTTGAAAAATTCGAAAAAAACGACTTTTTTATGCTTTGCCATACACAGAATAATAATATTGTTTTTAAAAGTGAATAAAATTGGGGACTTAGTGTGGGTTATGCCCCCAATAAACGGGGACGGAGTCCCGTATTGGTTTATCGCCCTTTCGGCATTTTGATAGCACGCTGCTGGAACGGCATCGGCACCACTCTAGACACGACTTGTTTATGAGAGACGACATAAAAAACATAAATGGGATCTTTGCAAGAAGAGAGAGTGTGTAGCCATGTGTAATGATGTGTTTGATCCAATCAAGAGATGGTCAAGTATTTATTCGGAAGTAAGAAAATCATAATGTACACAGTGATCATTGTCGACGATGCTAATGCTTGTGAGAGATTCAGCGGCCAAATAATCCATCTAAAAAAGTCCATATTACCAGTTTAATTGGTTTGCCGCTCAAGAAGGGCTTAATCTACTATATTTGATTCTTAAAAAGAATTATTTGATGAAATTGCTATGTAGAACTCCTAGAGAAGATGCATCTATCTTTGGGACTATTGAACAAGAAGATTTACGCCCTGGCTTTAAGAAAATTCTGAAGAGCACTTGAAAGCTTACATCCTCCTCGTCCAAAGCCACCACCGAAGCCTCGGTTATAACCTCCACCATAACCTCCTTGTCCTCCATAACCTCCTCCGTAGCCTCGATTTCCAAAACCTTATAACAACAACAATGCATTCAAGAAAAACAAATTCAAACCAGGTAGTGTCATACCTCCGAATCCACCTCGATATCCTCCAAAGGGACCTAAATAAGGGGCTGAGAGTACAATTCCGCAATTATGATAAAATTTGAACCTACCTCCTCCGAAGAACTGACTATTTACGCCAGCAACGACTAAGAAAGCAATTAGAATGAGGTAATTGAACATAGTGTGAAAATGGTGCCTGAGAAGGCTGAAACCGATAATTGGTGAATACCCAATATGGACAAAGAAGTGAAGTTGAAAATCTTGATATGGTTAATGTTTGCTAAATGGTAGAGAAAGTGCGAAAACAAACATAGAAAAACAAAGTGTCAACGTTGGTTACCGGATTCTGTTTGCAAAACAAGTTCTGCGTCGTCCCTGCGTTACAGAAACTATGTTATAACGTTTGGGGTTTTTCTTTATAAATCATGTTATTCAGCAGTAAAGAGAAAAAAAAAGTTGTAAAAAACATTACTAAGGGAATCTGAGAAATTGTGTTGCGCCCGATGTATGCGGGTCTTAGGCGGAAAAGCAACTCATGGGTATGAATAAAATGTAGGCCGCTTTCTCTTGCCCTATGTGCTCGTTCTGGAACACGAAATTTTTGAAAATGGAGTAAATGTGTCAAGAATCTGTATAACGGCTACTTTTATTCAGGGATGATGTGTTGTATAGATGTATTTGAAAAACTGCACTGAAATAGCTTCCAGAAATAGATTTGCAGTAAATGTGGCTGTCGCAACGGTCCTCAATAAAAGCTTGGAATTCTAAGTTCTTTGGAAAACTACCACATTCCATACATTCAGAAAAGTTTACCCCGTGTTGCCCTCCTCCCCCCCCCCACAATTTTTCTTCGGACCGCCACTGCTTGCTTAGCAGGTAGTCGAAATCTTTGTACTTTTTTTCAATTTTTCCAATCTTTTAAGCGTATTATAAGCTCGAAGTCTTCTATTTCTTGAAAATCTGTATCATCACTTTGAAAGGACGCTCTTAGATAGCCCTTAGAACGAAGCTTTTGCTACATCTTATTCAATTCAGACCAGAGGTGCAATAGGGGGAGCAGAGTCCCCTCAGGTGAAGGGGATTTTGGCTATTTCTAACCTAGAAAAGTGAAAGGGGTAATTGGGCCTTGAGGTGAATGCTGACGTAAGCTTACATGTCAACGGAAGCGGGAGTGAAAAGAAGGAAAATAAGTGGTACGGAGGTGTGTATAAAAATTTCCTCGATACTTAGGCTTTGAAAGGTCATACAACAGAGACTCTTCTGACTCAGGAATGCTTTATGTTTCATCAGTCGACATACCATTCGAAAGCTCGGAGCATACTGAATCGATGTAGACCGTCTTTTTTTTCAGCTCTCCTGTGAAATCAGATATAAAAAATCGTATTTAGTTCCAGCATCAGCTGATTTATGCAATCACTTGTCGCTGCATTTCTGAAAAAAAGAGGAAAGCTAGAAAAAAAGACGGTCCACCTTTACTGGCAAAGTCTTGCTCTGTAATACGGTTAGACAATTGGGCATTTTCAATCACTCTTGCATAAAAATTTCTTTGCAAAAATACAAATGTTTTTAGCTGAAATGTCATGTATCTCCGAGTAGAAGGGAGCTAGAGAAAAAGAGATGGTCTATGTCGAATCCCTTTTTCGTGGGCTTTCTAATGGTATATAGGTTATTGGGTGAAGGAACTTGTGGCTTTTCAAAAGAAGGTGGAGATATTCAATACTAACTTGCTCCGGCTCCGGCTTTGTATGGGTCGCCGGAGCAAGACTTTTTTGGACCGGGAAAGCTTCGTGCACCAACAATTTGTATATCTTCGATAGCTAAGAACGCGAGAAATCGACGTAGACCGTCTCTTTTTCTTAGGTTTTCTTTGAAGCGAGATACGAGCAGTTCTATCTAACTACAATATCAGCCAATCCTGGGTAATTATCTTTCCAAACCAAGAAGGTTTTTTCTTAAACTTTTGTATATGATTCGAAAGCCTAAGAAACGAGTAATCCAAATGCTCTTTTATTTGTTATCGTTCTTTCTGGTGAAAGGAGATATGGTACAATTATTGGCAGCAAACATGCATCCATCACTAGACAGTCCAAGTTTTCTACACTTGCTCAACTCTTTCGCCACAAGGTGTATTCATTGATACAATGTTTATTATTCAAAGAATTAGACATCCTTTCAATTTTTGATTATGTTTCGTTATCGGTGCTACTTTGAGTGCGCAGAAGGTCTCAAGCATGCATTTTTTCAGCAAAACGCTATTGCTTCGATAATCTCTTGCAGTCTTGATGTCTATGTCACGCGTTTCCTTTCCAAACAAAAAGTGCCGTTGTGGCAGCTGTTTGATTCTGCCGTTATGCCTTGATTCTAGTCTCCATCTCAGTGAAAGGGGTCGGCCAGATGCCGGCCCTAAAGTGAAGCAAGTCAGAGAAATTTCTCCACCTACCGCATCTAAGATTCAGGCAATCTTCGTCTATGTCAAGAGTTTCTAACAATCATCAACAGGGCCCGGCTTGAGTTCCTTTCTAGGCTTTTTGAATACGAAGTTCCCTTTGACCCCAATCCATATGTGCAAAAAACCCTTAAAAAGCGAAACGTCAACTAAAAAAACCACGGAATTTTTTGCGTCTTCGCCCCAAAAACGAAGTCCAGCTCGTTTCCAACGATCTGTGCCGGACCCTGATCATTAATTTCAGCAAAAAGTTTGTTCTTGGTAGAGACAGCAACTGAGCACAGGAAAGTTTCCAAAGACCTTATTTTTGAGATTATTCAAAATTTATTCTGCACAAATAATGGACGATGACAGGCTTTGGTACGCCAAGTGCCAAAGTTTCTATCCTCTTGATGCTCGTGCTTTATGATTTTGCAGGACTAAAGAAATCTTTCATAATGATCCTGTAAGACATGGTGAAAGATTTTGTATAATATGAAAAATATGGAGGATTTCATATAGTATAGGATTTTTTATTTATTAAATCAATTTTATTGCATGTTAAAAATGAAAACTCGCTACTAGAATATGTGTTAATGGTCTTCAAAGGCAGCGGCTCGGCAGACTGATATTCATCCTTCTCTGTTCTCCTGAATGAGGTAAGTCCAAGACAGTGCTTTGCAGCTTCAAAAGATATCAATAACCCGCTTTTCCAGAAGTGAAAAGTGCTATTTGGGCGGACGGCGTATGCCTGGCCTCGAGCGCGATTGGCTCGTGGGTACGATAGGTACAGTCGAGTAGACTTTCTGTTTGATATAGTGCCCCTGCAGACGCGACAACGCTTGTGCGTCAGAAATTGTCATTGCGAGCTCTCCCCTGTGTTTTTAAGCGTTTTCTTGCTTATTCTTTGCTTTTTGGGGTACCTCGTTGCCGATAAAGGAGAAAAAAAAAGGTAAGCTAGGGAGTATTTCTTGTTTTACAAGTAGTTATTTCTCGCTTATTCCTGGGTATCTACGTGGAAGGTCATCGTGTTAGTTGCATGTGTATTTTCTTGTAACTTCTTTACCCCTTTCTCCTCTTATAAGGCATTTCTTCAAAGGTTAATAGGCTTTTACTTTGAACTATACCTTTGACACACGAACTACTCGACTGGAACCTACCTCCTTTCAAACGAGTGCCGAAATTGCTGCAGCGCAAGTCTACTAGCGTTCAAAGAAAACGCCATGAGACTTAAAGAGGCAATAAATGACGAAAGAAAAGCAAATGACGAAAAATACGCATGAAACTGACACGATGACCTTCCAGATAGATATATAGGTAGATACTCGGGAATAAACGACGGTATAACTGCTCAAAAAACAAAAAGTAATCTCTAACCTACCTTTTCTCCTTTATCTGCAAAGACTTACCTAAAAAGCAAAGAATAAACAAAGAAAATAGTGGAAAACAATCACTCGGCAAATCGCAATGGCATTTGTTGACGCATAAGCGTTGTCGCGTCTGCAAGGACACTATATTAAGCGGAAATCTACTCGACTATACGGTGTCTCCATTTACAAGCCAATCGCACTTTTCACGTCTGGAAAAACGGATTATTAATATTTTTTGAAGCTGCAAAGCAAGTCTTGAAATTAGCTCATCCAGGAGAACCGAGAACGATGAATTTCTCAAAGTTGTCATTCTGAGTTGCTGCTAATCACTATCCTGCGAAATTTTAAGCTGGTGCAATTCACTACAATCTCAAATAATTTTTCCCGTTTTAGTAAGGCCAAATAAATAGGGCATCGGCGCATCGAAAGATTTATATCAAGGCGCCTAAAAAGGTGATTTTCAGTTTGTTTTCCATATATGAAACGACTCTTAGAGATCATGAGTGCTTAGAAGTGTAAATATAGAGCCGTACCAGATGACAGAGTGCATCAAAACTGAGACGAAAGCGCCTAATTACAGAGTACTACAATCACAGAAAAAGAACACAAGAAATAAATATATTAGGTTGTCCGGAAATTAGTGTCCGTTTTGGTTTCCAATTGCAACAATTCATACGCTTTTCATTCCTGAATAGCTTTCAAAGTATCATTCGATAGAGCAAAGCAAGCTCTACGAGATGACCATTTTGCTTTTGCAGCAGCTCTCATCCACCTCGAGTTTCGAGCCAAAAACTAATAAAACTCAGCAACCCAAAAAATCGAAAAAAATCGTAACTCAGTTCAAAAAATCCTACAAAAATTCTTGTTTGCTCACCTAAACACTATCAACATAAAACATCAGTATACGCCTTTGCCGTATTTTTCCCTCTGTAGGAACCAAGAAAACGGAAATTTTCGTGCATTCGCCAAAGTGATGCTGTGCCCTCCCCACATAGGTAGTTGTATACCACAAGCCTGTAGAAGTACAGACTTAGATTTTCGCCCCTCTACAAGCTTTAGTTCTCGAGAAATACCGATTATAGCTTTCCCCAGTTAGGTGATCCAAGCTAAAATTCAAATCACGAGAATTAAAGATTCCAGAGAGCTGAGAATTTACGTTTGTACTTCTACAGGTTTGTAGTATACAACTACCTATGTGGGGAGGGCACAGCATTACTTTGGCAATTGCACGAAAATTTCCTTTTTCTTGATTTCTAACAGAGGAAAAAATACGCTAGAGGGGTATATAGATGTTTTATGTGGATAGTGTTCACGTGGGCAAGTAAGAATTTTTGTAGGGTTTTTATGAACTGAGTTACAATTTGTTTCGATTTTTCCGGCTGCTG